ATCAATAGGTGCCATTGCCAGAAGGTTTGCTGTGTCACCCAGCACAGTCTCAAAGGATGTGGCATCCTTTCCTTCTTAACACATGACCCCGTCCAGTTGCTGATTTCTGTCTATACATTCATCTAAAAAAAAAGCAATTAAAATGTTATACATTCCCTTTACATTTCCCTTTCACTATTTGCACTAATAAATCCCTGCCATGGCATAACAATGCAATGATAATATTTTTCAGACAAGCTTCATTTCTTATCATTGAAAAGCTGCCCTTACCCTCCAGTCCATTGCCTTTGCCTAGACAGAGCCGATGTCATCCGTCTGCTGCAGGCAGGAGGAAGCATTTCCTCAGTCTCCACTTCCCCTGTGATCAGGCAGTACACTGTAAATTTGTAGCAAGTTGCCAGGTGAGAGGCTGCAGCAGGGGGCTGAACATTTGTAAACACAGCCAAGAGCTGCACAGGCGCCAGGATTTACATGACTTTTATGTCTGAGCTGACACCCTAGTCAAGTACAGGGGTAGGCAACGTCGGCCCCCCAGCTGTTGTGGAACTCCAAGTCCCATGAGGCATTGCAAGACTGACAGGCACAGGCATGTCTCCCAGAGGCAGAGACATGATGGGATTGGGAGTTTTACCACAGCCGGAGTGCTGAGTTTGCCTAGCCCTGGTCTGTTGAGTAGATGGTGACCTTGGATGATGTCTAAACAAAGATGGCTCCGTCCTTCTGGCGAGGAAAGCAAATGAAGGCATTGTCAGGGGGTGTACTGTAATCCCTGAGACATTACTTAGCATGCATGAACTTGGCATTAAAAAATATATATCTGATACTAGGTCCGCTGTAAAGGTCTACCTGTCTCTATTCCTTCTGCGATTCACCTCTATGATTGAGCCCAGGTGGTGAAACGCGTGAGTGGCGTTGGAGTGGGAGATATACGATTGTGGTGTATACCTTGTTTTTTGAACTTTGCATGGAATTTACAACAATAAAGTTGGATTTTTATGGACCTCGTTTGCGTGTGGTTGATTGGAGAGATATAGCCTCTGATAAAGATGTTTCTAATAAAAATTTCCCTCTTGGACTAATTATAAGACATTCTTCTTATTAGTGAGGAGAGAAGAAGGTGAAATAAACACAAGCCTTGCGTAGACGGACATAATACCAGGCGGAGACAAAACCATCTCCGAACATTCCAAACAGAACCCTCTGATGATACAGCTGTTCATGTGTTTTCCATAAACCAGAGCACACTATCTTGACATGTCCGATCATCTAGTGTAGGGTTTCCGAGGGCAATCCGCGTAAAAAGCAGCTGATATTTAAGATTGTTTGTTTAAGAAAAACAAACATAAAATTAGGGGATTGCTTAATATTTGACATTCTTCAATAATGGAATGTGTGAATGGGGCTTCCCAAGGGATCAGGTCAGCTTCACAAGGGTCAGAGCACCTGTTGTGTTCATTCCTCAGCTCAACTCCCGCACGTTCCTGGACAGACTTTCTGAAGAGCGTGTAGTAGGTTGGTATATTTTTTTTAGTTTTGGATTGTTTATGGAAGGATTAGGTGAGAGGCCTGGGATTTCTTAAAGTAGCGTAGAGGGAATCAGGGCCAACCCCATTATGAGGGAGCCTGAGGAGGTTTTCTCAGCTGGCATCTCATTAGGGCCCCTTTCTGGCCATAGCGTCCCAAGTTGCTAAGAGCTTTCAGGCGCTCTGGACAGCATCCCGCCCAGCTCACTGATGTCACTGGTTGCCTGGAGCTGAGTGGGACACCCTGGCTGGTGTCCGGCCCCAGCTCCTGGAAACCAGTGGCGTCAGGGAGCTATTCGGGATGCCGGACTGAGGTGCTGTGCGTGCACCCCCACTCCAGACCTGCACTGAGATCACCCCCCCGATCTATACCTCCAACACTCTGCACCAAAACCGGCCCCCACCCCTGGACCTACACCGCCAGCAAACCGCAAGAGACACAGCACCGCCCCAACCCATCCCTTCCCCAGCCTCAGGCAGTGAAAATTGTAGGGGTCCCCATTGAGAGAATGATCCTTCCTAGGCAGTACTCCCAGGTGTGGTTGTCGAAGGTTGGTTCTTTGGTTGAGTAGGGACTTGGAGTACAAGGAGGAAAGTGCCAAAAGCAGAATGTGAAAAATCCAAATGTAATTTTACTTGTACTCTGATGTCATAAAACCAACGCGTTTTGGGGGTTCCACCTTTATCAGGGCTTGGGACTGTAGAACATAGCGTGTACTGAAGAAGTAATTAGTATGACGGTTGCTCCAGATGGCAGTTATAGCCTTAATCAGGATCCCCCCACCCCCAGTTGTATCAGTTCAGTACACACTTTAACAGTACCAAGCCCTGATGAAAGGGGAACCTTTGGACTCCTGAAATGCGTTGGATTTTTATGACATGAGAGTTCTGGTTTGGTGCTCTCCTTCTTGCTTAGCAAGTTTTGGCTGATGTCTGGGTCCGTACTGAGGAAATTTACCATCACTATTGGTCCTGGTGACCAGGGGCTGACTGACAACTTTTGGCCCAGGGGGCAAGTAACACCCAGAGGTCAGAGGTCAGGGTGTGACGCAGAGAGCAGAGGTCAGGGTGTGACACAGAGCGCAGTGGTCAGGGTGTGACACAGAGCGCAGTGGTCAGGGTGTGACGCAGAGAGCAGAGGTCAGGATGTGACGCAGATCGCTGAGGTCAGGATGTGATACAGAGCGCAGAAGTCAGGCTGTGACGCAGAGCACAGGGTGTGATGCAGAGGTCAGGGTGTGACACAGAGATCAGGGTGTGACAAAGAGCGCAGAGGTCAGGGTGTGTTACAGAGCGCAGAGGTCAGGGTGTGACGCAGAGGTCAGGGTGTGTCACAGAGCGCAGAGGTCAGGGTGTGACGCAGAGGTCAGGGTGCAACGCAGAGGGTGTGCACAGAGCGCAGTGGTCAGGGTGTGACACAGAGGTCAGGGTGTGACGCAGAGCGCAGAGGTCAGGGCGTAACGTAGAGGTCAGGGTGTGACGCAGAGGTCAGGGTGTGTCGCAGAGCGCAGAGGTCAGGGCGTAACGTAGAGGTCAGGGTGTGACGCAGAGGTCAGGGTGTGTCGCAGAGCGCAGAGGTCAGGGCGTAACGTAGAGGTCAGGGTGTGACGCAGAGGTCAGGGTGTGTCGCAGAGCGCAGAGGTCAGGGCGTAACGTAGAGGTCAGGGTGTGACGCAGAGGTCAGGGTGTGTCGCAGAGCGCAGAGGTCAGGGCGTAACGTAGAGGTCAGGGTGTGACGCAGAGGTCAGGGTGTGTCGCAGAGCGCAGAGGTCAGGGCGTAACGTAGAGGTCAGGGTGTGACGCAGAGGTCAGGGTGTGTCGCAGAGCGCAGAGGTCAGGGCGTAACGTAGAGGTCAGGGTGTGACGCAGAGGTCAGGGTGTGTCGCAGAGCGCAGAGGTCAGGGCGTAACGTAGAGGTCAGGGTGTGACGCAGAGGTCAGGGTGTGTCGCAGAGCGCAGAGGTCAGGGCGTAACGTAGAGGTCAGGGTGTGACGCAGAGGTCAGGGTGTGTCGCAGAGCGCAGAGGTCAGGGCGTAACGTAGAGGTCAGGGTGTGACGCAGAGGTCAGGGTGTGTCGCAGAGCGCAGAGGTCAGGGCGTAACGTAGAGGTCAGGGTGTGACGCAGAGGTCAGGGTGTGTCGCAGAGCGCAGAGGTCAGGGCGTAACGTAGAGGTCAGGGTGTGACGCAGAGGTCAGGGTGTGTCGCAGAGCGCAGAGGTCAGGGCGTAACGTAGAGGTCAGGGTGTGACGCAGAGGTCAGGGTGTGTCGCAGAGCGCAGAGGTCAGGGCGTAACGTAGAGGTCAGGGTGTGACGCAGAGGTCAGGGTGTGTCGCAGAGCGCAGAGGTCAGGGCGTAACGTAGAGGTCAGGGTGTGACGCAGAGGTCAGGGTGTGTCGCAGAGCGCAGAGGTCAGGGCGTAACGTAGAGGTCAGGGTGTGACGCAGAGGTCAGGGTGTGTCGCAGAGCGCAGAGGTCAGGGCGTAACGTAGAGGTCAGGGTGTGACGCAGAGGTCAGGGTGTGTCGCAGAGCGCAGAGGTCAGGGCGTAACGTAGAGGTCAGGGTGTGACGCAGAGGTCAGGGTGTGTCGCAGAGCGCAGAGGTCAGGGCGTAACGTAGAGGTCAGGGTGTGACGCAGAAGTCAGGGTGTGGCGCAGAGGTGCGGGTGTGATGGAGAGCGCAGAAGTCAGGGTGTGGCACAGAGCGCAGAGGTCAGGGTGTATACATGCTGTTCTCCTTGGCCGCTGAAGTAGCGTGTTAGCGCCGGCCCGACGGGGGCCGTTTTTAGAGGCAACAGAGAGGCCCGGGGGGCAATTGCCACCCTGCCCCCCGGCCCAGTCCGCCCCTGCTGGTGACCATTGTCTTTTGTACAGGAAGTGATGGTAAAATATTTGAATTGTCACAGGAACAGGAGGTAAGGTGATATCTTCCAATGTGGACACATGTTCCAGTGACAAATTAGTAAAAGGGGATCCCTTCCCCACTTTTAAGAGATCTCCTTTATTTCCCTTTGTTTGTGGAACATGAAGGGGGATCTCTCCATCGGGAAACAGAGAGAAAACAAAACCTAACAGGGGTCTTAAATATTCCCTATTATATCTAAAGATAAAAAAATGGCCCTACATACACTTTAACCCAGAACAGTGATGGTGATATCAATGGATTGGCCAATCCTGAAGCAGTCTCCATTGAAGTAACACACATGAGTCAACACCTTAGATTACGGATTTGTCTTTAGGAATTTCTACATCTCCTAATTGTTAAAATTTGGATGGATCCAGGCTTTGGTGGATCATTGTTATCATTGGGTCTACACACAGGCAGCAGTTAACAAACAAGAAAGCAGGACTTCCTTGTAATTAGCTGGAGGAGAGTAAAACGGTATATTTGTTTACAAGAGAACATATTGACCCATAACTCATATTTCCTGGAAGTGTCTCAAGTGTGGAGCATTCCATAAATGTGACAGAGCACCTACCTCCGCTCATACCCAACGCACCACATCTGCCCGGCACATCCTTGTTTCCAGACCTTTACCATTCGGCTGTAGGCTTCCACCACTGGCTGTTTGTGAGACACTATGGTCATCTCCCTCTCTGGGCACACATTGGGCCTAAAAGAAAGAAAGACAAGTTGTGTTGGTTGCCAGGAGTAGATTCATAATTTTAATAATATACATTTGGCAAAAGTTCATAAATTTGAATTTCAGAACATATTCTGATCTAAAATGATGCAATGAAAAACAAAAAGCAGACAGAGATTAGCATTCCTCTTTAAAGACCTATTATTTAGTATGTGCTTTGCCTGGTATTCTTCTTTCCATGTTAGTCCAAAACTGATACTTGGGTAATAGGTTCAGCCTATGATGAAAAGTCCTGGGTTCTCCAGCGGTGAGATTTCCCACCATAGACAGGAATGATCTTCTTTGCCCACCTTGGTATGTTGGGTGTTTCCACCCACCTTAGCATATCCGGTGTTTCTGACCACCTTGGTATTTTGGACGTTCATTATCACCTGATAAGTGATTTTATCCAACTTGCAATGTTCCCACTCACCTTCATATATTGATTCCACTCACTTAATTTGTTATTCTTATTATACAGGATTTATATAGTGCCCACAGTTTGCGCAGTGCTTTACAATATAAGGAAGATATTACAATCACAATACAATTCAAGACAAGATGGTAAGGAGGGCCCTGCCCCTGAGGGCCTACAATAGAAAGGGAGGGGCAAGTGATACATGAGGAGGTAGCTGTGTGGGGATTAATTGTTTGACGGACAGGTTGGGGTAATCTGTTGACGGTTTCTGCACAGAACCGGTTTCCTGATAGGGACAACAGTGGACCATGCATGCTCATAGTATGCAAATACGGCCGCTTGTAGTCTCAGACAGGAATGTGTGACATGGTAACAAGCCTAACAGGGGTCTTAAGCATTCCCAATTATATATAAAGATAAAAAAGGCCCTACAAACACTTTATCCCAGATCAGTAGATCGGGAGGTGAGCGAACACATACCGGCGTTCGATCACCTCTTGATCCTGTCACAGCTCTCTGCCGTGACAGGGGAGGGGGGCTGGCTTCTCCCCCTCCCCACTCTGATCCACCAGCGCTGACTGGCGGAACGGACGGGGGAGGGGGCGGATACAGCTGGCTTTGCCTCTAGATAGGCAGAGCCAGCTGCCACTCACGCAGCTGGGCGGATCCAGACATAATTGTCGGGATCCACTTCAGCTGCGGCGTCTCATTATACCGCGAGCAGTAGCTCGCGGTATACTGTGGCGGCTTAGTATACCGCGAGCTGTAGCTCGCGGTATACTGAGCTTAGGGTGACGGGAGGACACTAGTTTGTGTCCTCCCGTTACCCTAAGGAGAACTATGGGGAAAAGCCTTAACCCCATAGTTCTCCTTTAACCACTTTCTAACCATATTCCTACACCTAAGTGTTAAAGTTCCATACTCTTGCAGCAAATCCAACTATTGCACTCTCAGGTGGCTTAACTCTCCAGTATCTACTTAAAATTGTCTAGGGTGGACTGACCCTTGGGATGATCTTTCAAATCGCAGCTCTTTGTGGAACTTCCAGAGGATGAAAACCAACTTTTCATTATCAAGGCCAAACCTAAGTGGGTGTGGACGGTGTTATAAATCAGTACATTTGTTTCCTGCAGATACAGCACCGTGGGCTATGCTCTGGCCTGAAAATTACTCTTTGGAAGATGAACTTTGGCATAAATTACATAGAAGAATTATTGCTGTCCATTTATCTTGTACAAGGTATGAAGCAGATAATATGAATTTATGATGATGATCAAAAGCTAGTCAATTGCTTTCCTCTGAACGGAGTACTTAAAATATTTGATCCATTAACAGGACAGGTATTTAGTCGATCATGAAACGTTTGCATTAAAACTGACTCAAGGGATGCTTGTTCTAGTTTTAGTTCTAAGCCAATGTATAAACCAGGGTTAAGCTCATACATTGCATGATGATGATGATACATGATATGGGATTATTCCAAGAGAAGGTCAGCACTCCAACGTAGATTTGATGTGATCCAATGATTCAGGTATTTAGGTATGGAGACTAGATAGTGAGTCAGGAATCATTGACCTATGGGTGTCAGGTTTGTCTTAGCAAGACCAGAAGCACATTCATAGTCCTCATTATCAGCTGTTAGCTAGAAGCCACTGAGGTTTGGTGCCCCCACAAAGGTTAATCATGTCACATGTTCCTAGGAATTGAAAGCATGTAGGATTGCACTACATAAAATGCACAACAGCCCCAAACCAGAGCAAAAATAGAGAGGTCAGTAAGAAGGGTTTATGGGCCCTATATTTGTTTGAGGGACTCTTGCTCAGCATCAGCCTGGCCTGAGTCATCTAGCCATCACTTCCAGCAATTTTGGATCCACCTTGAAGAACTGTGCCTACCATGGAACTGTCATTCAGATGGAACTTTTTCTTTTTGTAGAGTCCTATGGACCACTATACTGTTCTTATTTATGGGCAGACAGCTCATGTTTGTAACAAGTACCAGTCTCAATTAAAGTGATCCTTAAATTTTACCCCCCAATCTGCTACCAGACCCTATGAGAAATATGGGTTGTGGGGTAACACTTGACACCTTTCTCAACTTCCTATAATGTAGCGCTTGGTGCCTTGGCACTGTTCCATAGAAGTGGGAACCATTGCATCTGGGCAGTGGATTGGAGCAGCGGAGGTTGAAGTACCTGCTACTTAGGTTTATTAGGCTTGTTGCTGCATGAGAGTGAACCTGTTACTTTGCCTAGTGAGGTTGACACAACCGCATGTTCACCAGGTTCACAGCCTGTACAACCGTGCAAGACTGAAGAGAAGGCCGGAGTTCAGCTTTAAGTAGAAACTTTTTTTTGGAGCCGTGCTCTCCGCTCTGTTCATACTGAGATTATGCAAGCAAAGCCATAACACCTTTAAGGAAATATCACCACCTCGGCCCTGCTATTTATTTTCTAAAGCGGGGAATTTATTGCAAATAGTTGAGATAATTCTGCCATTCTTTGGGAAATTGCCAGGGGTCGTTAATGCCTCCTCCACTGCGTGTACCAGAGATTAAGATCTCTTCCAGCGCCAACATGAAAATAAATTGTACATGGCCTCCTCCTGTACAGCACGCAGGGGTGAAATGCCACTGATAGCGAAGGACTAATACACCCATTAATCACAGAGGCTCCTACAACTTGTACAGGCACTAAACTTGGGCTGCTCAAATGTATCGTCTCCATCATGTAGAAACAGCATCAACTGTAGCATACTAATCTGAGATTTGTAACCGACACTGTTTTATAAAACGCCACACAGAATAATATTTACCCTTTAAAGGGATTGTGGTATTATGAATACCCGCTCTTCTCTTCCAGCTCTCTCCTTTTAATCCATTGTTTTGTCATCTAACTAATGTCCTTCCCATACCGTTACTCAGACTACAATTTAATAAGGAAATTGGCTATTTTATGGCTGCCACTCTAAGTGACTGCCTTTGTTTACCTCTCTCCCACAGCATGTATCATACGGCATCTCCAATATAAATAGCTATTGTAGCAGACCATTGGATTTTCAAATCCCAGCCAGGTCACTGTCTGCAAGGAGTTTGCATGATCTCTCTGTGCAATCACATGTTTCCTCCCACACTCCAAAGACATGCTAGAAGGTTAATTGCCTCCTCTCTAAGTTGGCCCTCTAGGTATGCATGTGAGATAGGGACCTTAGCTTGTAAGCTCCTTAATGTCAATGTGCAACTATGTAAAGTGCTGTGAAAATTGTCAGCGCTATATAAATACCTGTAATAAATATATATACATTTTATTATTTTAATTTTTGCATGCATAAGCCAGAGAGACGTGCACTCATACACAGCCCCATTACACTAGCTACCCTTGGGAAAAACTTCCGCTATAGCTGTGTTCACTAAACTTAGGTTTATAACTGGCTGTCTTCACTTAAGATTAAGGTGACATTGGGAAGCTTTTTATTTGCTGCCTCACATTAGCGCACTGTAATGGTTTTATTGCGCTGGCATTTAACGTGTGCCTTAAGGCTGATCCAACTGGCAGCTCCGAGGACGGCTGGGTATATACAAGAGTTTTCATTGTCCAAAATACGTGAGCCGTGTTCAGCTCATACCGGAGCTGATGTATTAAACCAAGAGTACAAAAAGTTGTAAACTACATAGATCTTTATTCTCATGGAAAATACACAGAACTACTGTACATCTTTAAAGCAAATGTGAGCCCATCCTAACAAAGGGAGAGCAACGCTGTAAGACATCAAGTTTCTGGGGCAATGCATGTTGATGTCAGTAACTGATTCCTCTATATAGATCTTTAGGCCTTGTTCACACCAAGCGCGTTCCAGGAGCAGAGCAGTTACAGACCGGAGCAAAACTGCGTCCAATGTATTCCAATGGTATTTGTAGCTCCAGTTCACATTGCAGCGTTCCGTTCCGGAGCAGGTAAAAAAAACTGCAGCAGGCCCTATTTTACCTGCTCTGGAACGCATGCAAACGCATCAAAAATGCATGCAAACGCCTGGAACGCACTGAAAGCCCATTTTAAACCAAAAAAATTTTATAATATTTTTTTCTTTACCAAAAACAGCCCTGAACGCATCAAAAACACGGCAAAACGCACTGCATGTGCAGAAACTCATGCAGATCTGCTCTGCATTTGGTGCGAACAAGGCCTTAGTTATCACTAGAAGGATCTCCAGCAGGAGGAAGGAGGTCCTGATTCCTCTATATAGATCTTTATTATCGCTAGAGGGATCTCCAGCAGGAGGAAGGAGGTCCTGATTCCTCTATATAGATCTTTATTATCGCTAGAGGGATCTCCAGCAGGAGGAAGGAGGTCCTGATTCCTCTATATAGATCTTTATTATCGCTAGAGGGATCTCCAGCAGGAGGAAGGAGGTCCTGATTCCTCTATATAGATCTTTATTATCGCTAGAGGGATCTCCAGCAGGAGGAAGGAGGTCCTGATTCCTCTATATAGATCTTTATTATCGCTAGAGGGATCTCCAGCAGGAGGAAGGAGGTCCTGATTCCTCTATATAGATCTTTATTATCGCTAGAGGGATCTCCAGCAGGAGGAAGGAGGTCCTGATTCCTCTATATAGATCTTTATTATCGCTAGAGGGATCTCCAGCAGGAGGAAGGAGGTCCTGATTCCTCTATATAGATCTTTATTATCGCTAGAGGGATCTCCAGCAGGAGGAAGGAGGTCCTGATTCCTCTATATAGATCTTTATTATCGCTAGAGGGATCTCCAGCAGGAGGAAGGAGGTCCTGATTCCTCTATATAGATCTTTATTATCGCTAGAGGGATCTCCAGCAGGAGGAAGGAGGTCCTGATTCCTCTATATAGATCTTTATTATCGCTAGAGGGATCTCCAGCAGGAGGAAGGAGGTCCTGATTCCTCTATATAGATCTTTATTATCGCTAGAGGGATCTCCAGCAGGAGGAAGGAGGTC